TCCCAATTCTCTCAACAGCCCATTGGTGTATGTAGTGCCGCCTAAGGAAGAATGTTAGTGATCGTAAATACCTTCGTAGTACAAAAGCAACACTCGAATTCGCTAGGTATTTCATCATTTTTCTCGAATTTTCTGCTGTCTTTTTTCTCTTCATCCTACAATGTCACACACACAATTTCCTATTTTACTTTCCGTAACATACAACTCGTCCTGCTCGGATGCGATCAAATTATTTCGCTCTTTTTTTTTATCATATGAAAATTTCATTTATGATAAATATATACAAATATTTTTTGCAAAAATAATTTTTTTTAATTGTTTCAATTTCTCTAAAAATTGCTAAAAAATAGTATTAATAAATTTATTAATTAAATTTGTACTCAAACTAAAAAAATCAATAATCAATATTAAATCTTAATTAAAATTTTTTCAACTTAATAAGTATTTCTTTTCCGCTTTGATACAAAATAATTCAAGCGCTTCCCGAACAAGCGAACACATTAATTAATCCTTTGAAGCACGCATTCAAGAAAAAAATTTTCATGTGATATTAGTTACCTTGTTTCTAATCGAATAACTGTATCTCGAATAAAAGTTTTCGCAAGCAGTGTCGGTCATTGGATACAGTTATCGCATAATCCTCGTTCCTCATTATACATGTAACAAGCGAGAGATTCTTCAATTTCTATAATGAAATGGAGCACCTATTATCAACGGTGCTTTAAAAGAAAACACGAACGAAGCAATATATGATCACGTGGAGCCAGAGAGAGAAATTTCTCATATTCAAGGGAAAAAAGGAAAATGTATTACAATTGTGTCAATTTGTTAAAGAAAAGATGTTTGTAATGCATACCAATACGTAAATCGTGGTGTATATAAACTATTTTTTTAGAAAAAAATGTAAAACTTTTTTTTAAATTTTTTTTCAGAATTTTAATGAAAATATAATTTCTTAAACAAAAACTATATTTTTCAAACTTTCAATTTAGTTCAAATCAATTTATAATTTTGTTTTTATATTAATTTTGATTATATATATCACATATATGATATATAT